TATATATATATAAATAAAATAAGACATCAAATAATGAAAGAGACTTTCATAGAGGTAACACTTCTTTTCTGAGAGACAGGATGTGCAATTTTTTACAGAATTATATCATTTAGAGTCTCTACCTCTTCCCCTCAGTTTTATTCCCATTTTCATTCCTATTTTCCTGTTATTTTTCTCCTTCCTCTCCTTTTGCTCACATACAGCCATTAAGATCTTTGCTCTCATTGGAAGTATTGTGAGCTATTGTGAATTTCTAATTAATAAAAACACAGCGGAAGGTCTGTACTTTTGCTTCTGTTTTCTCTCAACCGCCTAATCATTCTACTTTTGCCTAGTTGAGTCTGGGAAAAGCCAGACTTGAAGAAGTGCTCTATGTAGCTCAAAAGCATGTCTCTTTCTCTTACAGAAGTTGGTCCAATAAAGATATTACCTCACCCACCTTGTCTCTAATAGTTGGGACCAACATGGCTACAACAATACTGCAAGTAACAGTGGAAAGTCTCTACTTTTACTTCTGTGCTCTTTCACTTCCTAATCATTTTACTTTTGCCCTATTTGTTGTTTTATTTGCAGTATTTACTCCAAAAGTCTCAAATATTGTATGTGAGCCCAGTATCCCTGAGAGTGGGGAGGCCGTCACATTATCTTGCCAGGTGACAGATTACCACCCAGCAGAGTGTCAGGTGCGCTGGATGAGAGGCTTTGAAGAACTCACCGAGGCTGCAATTAAAACCCAGGACCCTCAACTTGATACAGCAACAAATCTGTACCACAGAGTAAGCCAGGTGACATTTACACCTGAACCTGAGGACCATGCAGTAGAGTTCACTATTGAAGTCATCCATTGCAACAGAAGTACAAAGAAGTCCCATCCCCTCATGTTAAAAGGTGACTATTTAATTGTCTGTTCTTTGTGCAAGGTACTCCTGCTTTCTCCTTTAGTCTTCTTTACATTATATGGGAAGGGCACAGGCCTAGAGCAGATGTTGATGCTGTTTGGACCAGCATTAACTCTCCTGGAGATATCTGATTAGTGACTCAGGAGGAATACTGTGTGGTGCATCTTTGCCATAGCACAGCTCCCACCACAGACCCTGCCCCCACAGAGATGAGGTGTGGTGTGAGGATAAGGAGTGAGCATGCAGTGAAAATGCTGCTCCTGCTCTCTTCACCACTCAGTCTGGCTCCACAAGGATCTGCTCCCTTCCCCTTGTATGTAGAGGGTAGAACATAGAGTAATTTATTCAAGTAAAACACTTACTTGTCCCAGTGTCAATAGCCAACAGATTTCTGACAAGCAACCCTACAATAACAAGCCAGTGTGTGTGCAAGGTAGAGAAAAAATACTCAGTAAAGAAAGATTTAGATTGAGAATTTCAAAACCACTGAGAGGATCTGGATACCGCATTGCCAGTAATTTTAATGGGAACTAGGTGTCCAAATCTCTTAGGCAAATTTAACAATCTCAGGCTTTAAGAGACTCTTGGAAGCTTGAAAAATTTATGAACAACAACGAGAAAACAAGCACTCTTAGGTGTTATGGAACATTTCCCTCTCCGTGTCTTTTTAAAGACTCAAAGTATGAAGTAACTTCCTGGGAGCTCTACCAAAAGCAAAGAAGGAACTATTTTTTTTAGAAAAGCTCCGTAGCTGAACAGTTACTGAGAGGTATATAAATTAGGGGGTCAAACTTCATAGCTTTTGTAGGTCAAGCTCATTGCACATACCAGCCCCTTGCATCCCTCCATTCTCCACCACAAGCTCCCTGTATGCCACCCCTACATCCCCCTCTCTTGCAGGGACTCCCTGCACCCTCACATCCTCTCTTATGTCAGGGGTCTGTATCCCCCCCAGGCCCATACCATTGTTCTCCATTCTTCCTCCATGCCAGGGTTTCTGTTTTCTCCCTCCATTAGCCCTCCCCCATGGTAAGATCTGTGTGCTCCCCATTTTTCCCCTTGCCCTCTGCCAAGGTCTCCCATTTTTCCATTCCAGAGGCTTTGGATGCACTCTCATTCCTCCATGCTCCCTACTCCCCTCTTCCAGCCCATGCCAAGGGTTCTGGGTATCACTCTATTTCCCCCTTACCATTTTTGTGTTTGTTTTTAGTCCCCCCCTTCTCTCTGGGAGATAGGTCACCATATTAAACTTTATTGGGAAGATGGGCAGAGCTTAGATGGCGGAAGGGGAGTTAGGCGGGAATGTGTTAATGAGTGCCATCAACTGGTTGTTGGATCTGTAGACAATTAGATAAGCGGTTGAAGCTGTTGTCTACGCTAACCAGATGCTAGCGCCCATCTTCATGCATCCCACTTTCCGATTTTCCATTTTTCACCAAAATCAGTTGCATTCTGCCCACTGATGTCTATAACATTTCCTGAACTTTTGGAATTAAGCAGATGCAGCATTTAAGAATTCTTGCATTACATCCAGATAAAAAACAGAGAAATGTCATCAAATTGAGTGTAGGACTTCACTTCACTTGGCCAGTTATACACATGTATTTATGGGGGGTGCAAAGTTATTCTTGAAATATGTTTAAACTACCAAAAGCACAGTCACTTCCATAACCCTGAGCCTTTGGTTACTTCCTGTGTATCAGACCCACTAGCTACCAACTTCACATTCTACTCTGTATATATTTAACATTAACACAAACAATAGTAGTACCTTCTTGAATATTAATTTTGTTTATGCAGATAAAATATATTTCAACACTTTTTGCAGGTTTCCCAAGAATTACAAGTATTGTTCTTAGTCCAAATGATGTGGAGTATGGAAAACCCCTTTCTCTGACCTGCAAAATCATGGATTTCTATCCCAACGATATTCAAGTCCGGTGGTTTCAGGAGAACGATGAAATCAAGAAGGGTTCATCAGTACAAGAGCCAAAGCAGGATACAAGGGGCCTTTTCTGCACATCTTCTGCTCTTCAGCTAATACCCTCTGCTCGAGATTATGGCAGAAAGATTGGTGTAATGGTGATGCACAAGACTCTGACAAAGCCCATTAGAAAAAATGTGTATCTAAAACTCCCAGGTATGTTTAACAAGTCTCTGGGTCTATGATAGAGCAATGAGTTTCCTAGAGCATGAGGAAAAAAGTATGTTTTACAGATAGAGGGCTAGATCCACCAACCATGGTGCAGGAGGGTGTAAATTATACCCTCTAGCAACAATGAGATTCACCTGGCTATTGCTCTCCCTATTTGTGTTTTGCCAGGAGCAGTTTAGGCTCCAGTCAGGACTGCATGGGAGTCCCATAGATGGTGTCTGCTGAAAAGATATAAGGCCAGAGTTTCAAAGGTAGATATGTGCCTAAAGATGCAGAACCTAGTAAGATCTACAGAAGGCACCTATATGATATCAGTGCCTAATTCCAATTGCTTTTCAGTGGGAGTTGGGCACTTAACCTGCCAGACCCATTCATAAATCCAATGAAGCATTTATCTACATCTTTGAGCACCTGAAGACCTTTGACTATACCCCATTGCTGGCTACTTTTGGTGTAGCAGCAGTCCATAGAACTCCCTCTACAGACCACCCCACCCCGAGTGACTTTTTGCCTCTGGGACCTTGTGCATTGCTTCATGTTGGCAGAAATTAGGATTAACTCAGGCTGAAGTTAAAGGTTTGTCTGTCTTTTGCTAGCCATTTAAAATTCCAAGTTTCAGAAAGATCTGGGATTCCTTCCCCTAGAAAATGTGTTACAAATAAAGAGACACCCCTTTCTTTCAAGTCTCTCCTAACGTGTATCTTGTCTGTAAATGGGCATAGTCACTTTGCAGTTAGCTGACACAGACCAGCTGCATGTCTCTAACTCAGGCTCTTGGGGCTTGGGCTGTAAAGCTGTGATGTAGACGTTTGGACTTGGGCTGAAGCCTGGACTCTGGGACCCTGTGAGAAAGGAGGGTCCCGGAGCCCAGGATCCAGCTCAAGTCTGAAGATCTACATTGCACTTTTACAGTCCCACAGCCTGAGCCCCATGAGCCTGAGTCAGCTGACATGGGTCAGCTGCGTGTTTCCAACTGTAAGGTAGACGTACCCTTAGAGTCTCGACCTCCCCTTTCTGAGGGGAGTGGGACATGGATTGCAGATGGGTAGGGCCCTACCAAATTCATGGTCCATTTTGGTCAATTTCACGGTCATAGGATTTTAAAAATTAGTAAATTTCAGGATTTCAGCTATTTAAATCTGAAATTTCATGGTGTTTCCATTGTAGGGGTCCTGACCCAAAAAGGAGTGTGTGTGTGCGCCTGTGTGTGTGTGTGTGGGGGGGGGGGGGGGCTGGGTTGTTGTGGGTGGGGGGGGGTTGCGGCACTGTTACCCTTACTTCTGTCTGCTGCTGGTGGTGGTACTGCCTTCAGAGCTGGGCAGCTGGAAAGTGGTGGCTGCTGGCTAGGATCCCAGCTCTGAAGGCAGAACCAGTGCCAGCAGCAGCACAGAAGTAAGGATGGCATGGTATGGTATTGCCACCCTTATTTCTGTGCTGCTGCTGGCGGGGTGCTGCCTTCAGAGCTGGGCATCTGGCCAACAGCTGCCACTCTCCAACCACCCAGCTCTGAAGGCAGTGCAGAAGTAAGGGGGGTGGGTGTAGGGATAGCTCAGTGGTTTGAGCAGTGGCCTGCTAAACCTAGGGTTGTGAGTTCAATCTTTGAGGGGGCCATTTAGGGATATGGGGCAAAAATCTGTTGAATGATTTAATTGGGGATTGGTCCTGCTTTGAGCAGGGGGTTGGACTAGATGACCTCCTGAGGTCCCTTCCAACCCTGATATTCTATGAATACCACAACCCCCCTAAGGACCTCCAAGTTGAGGAACACTGGTCTCCCCCATGAAATCTGTATAGTATAGGGTAAAAGCACACAAAAGACCAGATTTCACAGTCCATGACATGTTTTTCATGGCCATGAATTTGGTAGGGCCCTACAGATGGGTGTTCCTGACACATTTATTCAATCACAATCCTCATTATTCTAATGAAGTGCTTAGCAGCACATGCCACTCTTTGGCCTTACTCCTGCTCCTGGAGAGAAGTGATTTGGTGGCAGAACTCATTCATGTAAGATCAGATTCCCTGGCTCTCTCTGTTCTGCTTAGCACTTTTAGTCTGTGCTTATATGGCAGAGTACTGTGCACGTGTCCTTGTGCAGGATCAAGCCCAGGTGCTCTGTCCCATAAAAAAAAAAAGTGAATATTTTCTCTTTTGCTGGTTAATTATCTTTTCTTGATAAATCCCATTGATAGTGTCCAGGAGTGTTTTACTTCACTGTGTTTCTAATGGAAAACTATCCCTTCTTTTTAGCAAAGTCTCCTGCCGTTTCTAAGATTAGAGCAACACCCACATCACTGAAGGTCAATGAGACTGTCTGTCTTGAAGTTTCCATATCAGATTTTGCGCCGGAAAATATAAAAGTTGCATGGTATAAAGACTGGTCAGAGTTACCTAAAGACAACCATAACATAGATACTCAAATTGGAAAAAATGGTTTATGTTTCTCTACACTGAAAACACAATTTACTATTAATGCATCTGATAATGGAAAAATGTTCAGATGTGAGGTTATTCATCCAGCAACGAACTCCTGCACAGAGAAAAGGTTTATATTGAAACTCGATGGTAAGTTGGATTTTTTAAATAAGGGCCTGTGATGGGAGGCACTCATGTCTTGAGTGCCTGTTAGCAGCTGAGTGTGGTACTGCGGTCCTTTTCTCACCTGGTGCCTCCTGCAAGCTGCTGGCTGACCTTGGTGGGTCTTCCATGACTTGGCCCTCTGGTGCTGGCTGACCTTGGTGGGTCTTCCATGACTTGGCCCTCTGGCTGAGTCACTGAGTCCAAATGAATCACTTCCAGGGTAGCAAAGAGTTCAATAAATGAACAGTCCTGTTGCCCCTACTAGGATGTTCAGCCCTAGCTCTGAGCCCTTTGTTTTCGCTCTCACATAAGCCCTGTCCCCTTCTTGGGGTTCATGCCACTGTGGTGATAGGGGAAACCCAGGCCTACCCACCACTCCAGGGTTCCACCCTACGGACATTATAAACAGCAGTACACATTGCTTGATTTTAGTTTGTTGCTGTTTCTTCCTTGGGCCTCTTCTAGTGTCACTATTCCCTCAGAGCTAAGGATTTTAGGTTCTCTCTCTCACTGCAAACCCAGTTTAAGCAAATGCAGCAAGAAACAAACTCTGGTTCTCCCTCAAGAGCACAGCACCCTTGACCTCTAGTCCCAGCTAGGAACTAACCTTTTAAGGCTCTGCAGGTCCTTTTATCTGAGCCTGCTAGGCTCTGATTGGCTGCTTCCGTGAAGCCTCTCTAGGCAAGCTTGGAGGACTCACCTTTGCTGCTCCTTTCTGTTTCACTTCACTGCTTCGTGGGGCAGGGTATAGCAGAGCATTGTGGCCTCCTGTGGGGAGCCACAAAGGCCAGGTGCACCCTATCACGGGGCCAGTTTTAGGTTGGGTAGCACCTTACTCCACAGACACTCACGTTGATTTCAGTGGAACTGGCTAATGAAGGAAGGGCCAGATTTTAAAAGTATTTAGGCAGGTAAACTTGCCTATCCATCTTTAAGCACCTAAATACTTTGAAAATCTGCTGCCAAGATACTACTCAGTGTGAGTAAAGGTGTCAGGATCTGACCCTAAATAAGCTTGAGTCTCTATATAAGTATCTATATAAGTATCCGTGTAGAATTCTGAACCTTAGCTTTCCCTCCCAGCATCATCCACTGAACTAACTATATCCACTTCCTTAGCATTATAGAGCAAATGGCCTTTAGATTATCATTAAAATGGAGATAGAACCTCTCAAGATACTCATGCTCAAAACTTGGCTTGTTTTAATGATCAGAGAAAATAAGTGAAATGAGTAAGTGAAGTAAGTGAAAAGGCTTCTGTTGAGTTCAGAGGAGTTTGGATCAGGTCCTCTGACAGTGAATGTGAAAACAGATGTATTAAATAACAGGGGATGAGGACATATTTATAAGGATGCCATGGAACAGTACAAAATTTCGCAATGTGTATAATTGTGTGTTTTCCTACTGATATGTTAACTACCCCGATGATAAATGTATGTTTGTTATAGATAACATGGTATTTCTTCATACTTTACAGATTTTTCTACCAGCACTGGAGATATCCAGTCAGAGTATGTATATCAGAACTACACATTGAGTGAGTTTTATATCAAACTGAGAAAAATTGCAAATCCTCCTTCTAATACCAGGCACAGGGGATAGAAAGCCTAGTGGGAGATCTGAGAAGGTGGCAGTGCTGTCTGATTGGCATCCTCCTCCCATTTCTCCTAAGGGTGTGGGATCAGGAATGGCTGTGTGTTGGGGCAGGATGGTGGTAGTTCAACCCTGCATAGAAAGAATCAACTCAAAAAACCCCCTAACTTTTTCACAGAGCCCTTTCAGCTGTGGAACCCGCTTGAGGATGGCCAAGGGGGATTCTGGGGTTCATGGCAGGTAGGGTAGTTGGAGAAGAGTCCAGAGAAGGAATGTAAACACACAGGGCTTCCACACAGATGGTCCTGTTATCCAGCATATTCACAAGAACCCTGGGATTTGGGGACTGAAACCCCTTTTTGTCCCACACAGGGAGGCAGCAAACCCACCACTCCCCACCCCCAGCTGGAGGAATAATCTGCTGGCAACTCCACAAGTGGAACCTGCTTAGGGATGATTTGCACCTATGCCACTTTGTCTTCAGTTAATTAATTGGGAAGGGGTTCTGTCACTGCAGGAGCACCTCCTTATGTCCAGGCATGGCATAACGGCGCTCTCCCAATATGGTACCCCCAGCCAATGGTCACTCTGTCTGGTCTCTCTTCCTGTAACTTGGCCCTCTGGCCACATCGTGATTACTTCCGGAGTAATACAAAGCTCAACACGGGGCCAATCAACTGAACTGTTCTAACTCCAAGCCCTTGGTCCTCACACCCTTTCCTTAAGGCTTTCCAATGTCCTTTTGCCCATCGCCTGGTTCACGCCACCTTACCAGTGGTAGACAGGGAAACCTGGGCCCTCCCACTACACTGGGTTCCAGCCCAGGGACACTATAACCAGCAGTCAAGTCTGCTCAGTCCCATAGGCGCCAACTTCTTCTCCCGCCGGTGGGTGCTTGACCCTCCTCTGCCCCGGGCCCTGCCCCGACTCCACCGCTGTCCCGCCCCCTCCCATCCCTGCCCTGTCCTGTCCCCATTCCAACCCCTTCCCCAAAGTCCCCGCCCCAACTCTGCCCCCTACCTGCCCCTATTCCGACTTCTTCCCCAAATCCCCGCCCCAGCCCCGCCTCTTCCCCGCCTCCTCTTCTGAGTGCACCACGTTCCCACTCCTCCCCCTCCCTCCAAGCACACCGCCAAACAGCTGTTTGGCGACGGAAAGGCGGGAAGCACTGATAGGTAGGCAGAGGAGCGGGGATGCAGCGCGCTCAGGGGAGGAGGCGGAGGAGGGGGAGCGCGGTGGGGGGGGGAAAGCTTGGTTGCTGGTGGGTGCAGAGCACCCACTAATTTTTCCCTGTGGGTGCTCCAGCCCCGGAGCAGCCACGGAGTCGACGCCTATGCTCAGTCCCACTCCTTGCTGCTGTTTCCTTGGGCTCCTTCCTATCCAGCCTTTCTCAGGCTATCTCCCCCACAACCTCTTTAAGTTGACCCTTCTCTCTTGCACACCCCAAGAGCCTGCTCCAACCCAGTAGCTACTACCTCCCAGCTGCTTGCCAGTCTGTTCTGCTCCTCAACTACTAGGATCTCAGGGCTGCTGCTTCCTCCCTGGGCTTCCTCCTTACCATCGCTCTGTTCCCATAGGGTGGCTGCAGGCTCTCTCACCTGGCAGTCCCCCTTCTTCCTTGTTTTTTGGTGCAGCAACCTCATCATACAAAACTTTGACCGCCACATTCTTCATTCGTTTTTAGCCAAGTTTCCCACCCCCACCCCCCCCAATATCCAGTCACCCAGTCTATTTTCCTTAGGGAACTTTGCCCGGGTGTTTTTTTTTTTTTTTTTGCACTATTCCATTTCCCTGACATTCTCATTAGTCCCTTTAGAAAAAAGTTTTTAATTCCAAGCAGACTCAATATTTCATAAAGAAACGTTTTTTCCATAGAACATGATCAACTGTTTCTGTGGTTTTGTACAGATTACACAGCCCATCTATGTCTTTTTACTAAGTTTAACTTATCATTTAAGGCACAATGACCTGCTAACACTCTAAAAATGACTATTTCACTTTTTCTGTCGTGACTGTGGAGTATAGTATTATCTTTGATTTTTGAGCATACATCATAGAACCTTCGTCCTTTTGTTTTCTTGGTCCATAGTTCTTGCTATTCCTTTGCAAGCTCCTCCATGGCCACACTTTTAAATTCTTGTCTACTTAAGGGTATCTCAAGATCCCTCTCCTAATTTTTTAGAGCATGTTTTGCTGTTTTGTCAGCTCTCTCATTTCCAGGTCTTCTGATATGCACCGGAATCCATGCTGTTGTTGCTTGCATTATTTCCGTAGTTAGGAACATTATTTCACGTATTATGTCATTTCTGCTTTCCAAAGTCCCTGTTCTGATT